GTGATTGGTGGGTGTGAATCATTTTGAAATGGGATTATGCGCAGTGTCTTATGTTCCATCTAAGGTTTGTATAATCTAAGGTGCCAACTTAAAATTTATTGACATTTATTTATCATGGCGCCCATCATATGGGGGGTCAAAATGTTTTTACGATGCGGTATCTAGACCTTCTGAGGGCTATGGTTCAAATTTTAAACCGTCGACGTTATGGTCCATTTATTCGATGCTAAGAACTACACTCTCTGTTAAAAATGATGTCGATATTAGTAAATATCCAAAGTTACGTTCGCTTTTGAAAAGAAAATCTGATGGTTTTAAAAGCCAAAAATCCAAAAAAAATTTAGTCTGAAGACATAAAGACTTTCCTAAAGAATGCACCTGACTATAAATATTTAATAACAAAGGTAACGGAATTATTATTTTTATTTTAACAAATACTTAATACATAACTACTAAAATTTGTAGGTAGCATTAGTTTTTGGATTATCTGGCGCTTGTCGTTGCCACGAACTAAAAGATTTAACAATAAGCGATGTAAAGGATACTGGAAGTATTCTGTTAGTTAAAATCCGTAATATAAAAACAAAAGTTCCTCGTTCTTTTCATATTTCTGGACCCTTTTATGATATTTCTAAAAAATATGAGTCTACGTCCCGCAAACATGGATCAAATTAATTCAAGATTCTTTATTAACTATCAGAATGGAAAGTGTAGCAGACAGGTTGTTGGAATTAATAAAATCAGTAAATTTCCTAACGAAATTGCTCAGTTTTTAACGCTTCCGAATCCTCAAGATTACACTGGGCACTATTTCCGCAGAACATCCGCAACGCTATTAGTGGATGCAGGAGGTGACTTGCTTCTGTTAAAAAAGCACGGTGGTTGGAAATCTAGTAGTGTTGCGGAAGGATATATTGATGAATCCACGAACAGTAACAACCAAATACAAACCAAAATTTTACAATCTGTACAAAATAAGGAAACTACTAGTTCATCCGATTATGGCGCATCATCATCTGAAATGACATTTAACAGTAGAACAAATATATCGGCATCTACCTCAATAAATAAAAAGCTTGAGTGTGATACCCCCATAATTTTGAACAATTGTTCAAATATAACAATAAATCAATATTTAAATAATAAATAATATTTCTGAAATATTTAATTGTTGGTTAATTTTTTGTTATTCCTAACACAAAATAAAGCATTTGCTAACGTTTGTTTTTTTTTTCATTTTAGTAGGTACCTACATGACATAATAGAGTTCGTAGAAAAAGTATAGTGTTTTACTCGTCGAAAATCATTTTTTTCGTCACTCGTGAAACAATGTACTATATCAACACTGAAATGTATCTAATGGTCCCCCCTTTGAATATTTTTTAATGAAAAGAAATACCATGTCAGCAACATTTATTAAATGGTAATCTTTACTTTATCACGAAATATTTAAGTTTTTTAAAACAACAATAATAATAATAATAATAATAATAATAATTTATAACAGATTTCGTCCATCTCTAGACCCGCTTGCTTTATTTGGTGCTTTGATACGTTAATCAGTTATTTCTTTTTATGGATTTTTTATTTTCTAAATATATATTAGGAATTCTATATTTAATCAAATATGTGTACTGTTTCAACAAATTTAAGAACGTCTTTAGCAGTGGTCTAGCCCTCTGACGATTTGCATGCCTCATCTGTGACCTTTAATTTTTCAGCCGGAGATATTTTTGTCACCATTAACTTTCAACGATCCGTTTTTCATTTGGCGTTTCTATGAAACTCAGCTAGTGCAAAGAAAACAGGAAGATACGGCTCATCCCTAGGGAGATATACAGCCTCGAAACTGTGACCTTTTAATAGACATACTGCTAAATCCCGAAAAATATTGGGTGCTGCCTTTGTGCGAAACGAGTGATATGAAGTGATTCGGAAGATTGTCGAGGAATATTAGTGGATACTTTTCGATGGCATTGATGCTATAACGAATACGGTTATATGGACCTGGGGAAAAGGGAAATATATGATAAAATACTTTGAGAAAATTTTGTTCGAACTGATTTATAAAACACGAACTTAATGATTTTATTACAATAAATGATCTTGCAATTCCCAAATTCTTTTATATTCGTGTTTTTTGTATAGAAGGTCCAATAATAAATTATACACAAAAAAGTAGTTGAATTCTGACATCCAAATACGAAGATATGACAAAAAGTATCACAGTAAAAGATTGAATGTGACTGAGTCATTTATAGGCCCGCGTCTAGCACATTTGGCGCCCTTTAATAAAAGTGTAAATTCTCTTAGTAAAATAATTTAATAATGCTTCCCCTCCTCCCTTTCCATTCTTCCCCCTCTGCCTCGCTAAGTAGTATTATCATTAAATGATAATAATAAAAATATATTATAGAAGATGTCTCACCACAACGTACTATTTTATTTATACGGCCTCGTAAAATGTCTTCAAAAGTAAGAGAGCAACAAGTATTTATTTTATACATACTCATAAATTTCACTCCGCAACTCCCAAAACACAACCATAAACAAACATATAAACATCACTAGGCCTATTCAAGCAAAGAAAATACTTTTTAGTATCTCGCCGTCTTTCCATAAATCTATATAGGCTAGTGAAACAGTAACAAGTTTCTGAGTTAGGAAAATATTTCTAAGGATTGATATATAATTTAAAAATCTAAAAGATGCCGACAATTTAACTATAATACATAAATTCTGAGAAACAATATTATAGCAGGAAAAAAAATAAGAGGGAAAATTATATAAATAAGAGCAACGAAAGTAACTAATAAAAAAAATTGGGATGCCATTTAACTGCATATGTATATGGTAGAGATGAAATACAACTCGAACAGCTTCAGAAATTTCTGTGAAACTGTCAGTATATTTTTTTAGTTATTGAGATTAAATTTAATAATTAAAAATTAGTAATTCTTATGAAGAATCGATAAATAATAGCATTTGAAACTATCTAAAACCAATTTAATTATAAATATTTTAAAAAATTAGCTGCCTCCATAGAGTAGATATGTAGACTTGATTTGTCATGCAAAATATCTCAGGTTCAAATCCAGGATTGACGACCAATTATTTTTAAAATCTTTTCATCCTAATAACCCTTATAATTTTGTAGATTTTCGTTAGTGGGTTGCAGAAAAAATATATTGTACAACTCACTAATCACTTTAAAAAGGTACCATTTGGGTAGGCGCGTCAGCTGCGACAAGCAACCACTTAACCGACCCCAAGGTCTAGTAGGACAACAGGTGCATAAATTTTACCCTTCGTAAGCATTCGAGGGAACAATCAGCGTTGCCAGACCTACTATTTTCACGTAGATCTACTGTTTTTGTCTCTAGCAAATTTTGTTCTTAATTTATTAAGTTTGCCTCATTCTTCAGCAAATGGGTAAACAATATTTTCTCTAGTAAAGCTTTGCACCGAGAAGGGTCTCCACGACACTTCTCGGTCGTGTCGCGCCATGCGAAATGTGTTTTATATAATTGTATGTATTTTAGATGTGAAGCGACACTTCTCGGTCATGTCGGCGGTCGTATGTCGCGTCGGTACCTTAAAATATAATTTAATTCGTTGCTAGTGAGCACGAAAAATGGAATGACAGAAAGGTTTGGAATACGATGAGGAGTAAATATGGTGGCATTTTGTTTAATCTAGAAGAAATACGAAAACTACACTGTACGAATTATATCAAGGACAAGCGAAGGACCATATGAAGTAAACAAACTAAGACATAGATAAAATAATAAAAGAAATATATTTTTATTTTCATGTCTGTATCCAAATAAATAAAGCATCGGAATTATGAATAATGAATCAGAAAAATTCATAAATAAAAATAAATTAAATTTGGCACAAAGTTCTGTGCAACTCAATACTACGGATTCAGTATATTAAAGCTCTTGTAGGTTATATCGCGCTATCGGAAAAGTCTCTAAGTAAAAACTTTATTCATAAAATGTTAAACACTTCCTTACTTGTAATTCTGTGCTTTTATTTAAGCTTTACAAAGTTTCTTGGAAACCCTTAGTCCACGAAAACCGGAAAAGTTTTTAAATCCTTTATACTGTCAGTTGTAGAAACACAAGGAGAATGATTAAACCAAATAATTTTAATCGGATTATCTGGCGTTATTTTCAGTTACCACAAATATTGATGGAGTTTTCACAGTTTTAGGAATAGTTATTTCTTTTAATTATAATATACAAACAAACATAGTCACAATCTGTTATATAAACGATTACGTATAAATGGAATATCAATTAAAATAATATTAATTTATAAATAAAATAATTGAAGAGGTTAGAAGCAAAAGGGTTCAAGTGATATTTTTTTTTTTAAATGAGTGAAGTACATTTAAACCTTTTAACCTAGATCAAACTAAATGTTTTTTCAACCAACTGACAGATTCGTTAAGACATCAAAAATTACTGGTATCATTTTACCAACAAAATAATAATAACGAAATATGCACTTAACTTATTTAAAAAAAAATGTCACTTAAACCTTTATACTTCTAACTGTTTCAATTGTGTTGTCTAACCCTTTCGAAAAACTTTTACTAAATAGAATAAACCCATGATAAACAATAAAAATGTGACCACCAATTTGGATATAGAAACAAGCATTCTATTATTGATCAAGTCCATAGAATGATGAATTAAAAAGAGAAACACTAGAAGAAAAGAAGATCTGCACCTCACTCTTTCTAGATATAGCTCAGACTGTATGTTTAGAAAACCTTTAATATAAAATACATAAACTTTTACCTAAACAATATTGTGACATCTTAAAATCCTACTTAACTGATAGAATCTTTCAAATCTTCAATCTTTCACGACTCGCTTACGGCTCGCTTTAGAATCTGCTTGTCCCGATTTTAAAACTTAATATACTACTATTAAAATGTGCTCATTTAGCTAAAATTACAGTATTTAAATCTTTATTTTTAATTTCAGGTGAGTCCAAAAAAGACCAATGCAATAAAACGGTAGAAATATACGAAGATGTCTCCTCTCCGGAGGTAACAGAAGCTAATTTCGGAAAACCCATGACCTGCTGGTACCGGTTTCGATCGTTTCGCGGTACACCGAAGGACTGGATTCTTAGGATAAAATTCAACAAGTTCAAAATTGGAAACCTGCTCAATGGAACTCATTGTGAAGGGGGCTATTTACAGGTAATTTTAACTTTAACATAAATAATAAAGGCGGTGAAATGTTTCAAATTAATAAGCATCTGGCAAACGAGCATAAATACTGGGCAAATATAAAGCATAAATGATGGATGGATTGACAAAAGTTATAGACAAAATCATCTTATACCTACAATAAATAAACCTTTATGATTTTATCGAACATATGTATATAGGCTATTTAACGACAGGGAGACACTAGCTCTTAAAAAAATAAGTAAAAATAGTATAGAAAAAAAAAAAAAGTTTAAGAATTATTTTAATACGCGTCTTTTTATAAAAAACAGTTCAAGATGAGTATGTGGAATTAACCACTAATTTCACTTACTTTTGACCGTAGAATGTGAAAAAATACAAAATAATACTCAAAATATGTACCACATAAATTTGATACAAAAAAAATGTTTAAATATTGGCAAAAATGTAAAACATCGTTGAATTTTATTTCTTTATTCTATTCTTTTCAATAAATATAGAATCAAATCTCAAAAAATAATAAAAAAGTTTTGTTTATAGAGAAAAGAAATTTGTTAATTTTGAGCCAAACCGTACCTGGATTTTACTAGCTTCTTATACATTGCTAGATTTAGCAACATATGGATGATAAACGTTAATTCAAATTTTTATATAAAACTTCTAAATAAGAATATAAACTTTTCTACAAAAAAAAATAACTTTTTCATTCTGGAATATTCCTCAAAACGTAATAAAAATGTTCCATTTAATAACAGTCAAACCTTACCTTTTGCATAATACGCATTTCATTCTTTTGTGTTTACCTTAAAGCGGTATGTTTTAATTTCGCGAAATTTCAACGACGATTAATCTTCAACAGTGAAAAATTGTTTTTAATATTGCGCTGCGATTTTAAAAGAACAATAAATGCCAGCCATTCATAAAAATTTCGTGATAATTATGAATGATTGTATGGTAGGTAGAGTGCGTAGGAAATGGTATAGTTTAAATTGTATAACCACAGCTTATACAATACAGCTAAAACACTCTTGGCGGCAACGGTTTGCGTCGATTTCGTCGCGCATCGCTTAAGCTTCGCCTTCGAAGGGAAAAGACGGTTTTGGTGTTCAGACGCGTACTTAGGTAAGGTGTTGAGTCGTGCGTATAATTTCGTTGATTGTATAATTTCGTGGAGCCTATAATTTCGTTGATTTTGTTTAAGTCAAAGGTACTGTGATTATTTTGGTGACTCTTTAGCTGTGAGTAGAATGAGTAAAAAAAAAGACATCATTCTGTTTGTGCAGTCAAAAGCTGTTTTAATAAGGGTTATACCTGCAAGAAAACATTCTTTAGTTTTCCCAAGGACCCAAACCGATAAGTACCACATTATAAGAAATTTTCATTGTTAAAAATATAATTTATACAGGGTATCCCATTAGTGCGTTATTGTTCATTATTTTGTTGTAGACACGCAAGAAAGTTTTAAATAAAAGTTATATGGATTTGAAAAATATCTACATATTTTAAAAATATCTTTGGATATACAGGGTGTCACGTTTTTGCCTGGCAAATTAAAATGTACGTTTTTTAAATGGAACACCTTGTATTTTATTTTATAATAAAATTATTAACACCCTAAATTATTGTAAAGACGAATTACAGAAAAATTTTATCAGGTATGTGTGTGGTTACCTTTTAATAAAAGCCTTGCGGATCCACTCCTCTGCGATACCTGTCTTAAATATAACAAAGATCACGTCGAATTAGATGATTTTTCTTTTTATTGCTTTTTAAAGGCATATGATAACGCCAATCCAGATACATTTGGAAATCTGTAACTGTCAAATGATGAATTTGTAGAACTAATATTCAATATTGAAAAGATATTTCAAAATAATTTTGAAGAATTGGCTACAAAAAATAACATTTGTACCACACTTTTAGAATTAATTAACCCAATACCCTTTAGTCATCCATGCTAACGTTTTCCAAAAGAATAACTTATTTTATTGTATGTTTAATCTCAATAACTAAAAAATATACTGACAATTAGTTTGACAGAATTGCCATTTATTTAAAATTTTAAAAATAATAGCAGTCGGTTGATTAAAATATGAACGGTGATTGGCGAATTTTTTTTTTTTGCAGTGTTCTCACTACCTAGAATGGATATGAAATATATTCGTTCAATTGAAGGCAATAACATACTTTTTCGTTTTGTAATCTGTGCATGGATATTAGCCAATCTACGCACATACTACAAAACGAAAAAGTATGTTATTACGTTCAACTACGAATATATTTCATATCCATTTTAGGTAGTGAGAACACTTTAACAAAATTAAATCTACAAATCACAGTGCATATTTTGGTCACCCAACTCCTATTATTTAAAATTTTTTAAATAAGTGACAATTCTGTTAAACTAATTGTCAATATATATTTTAGTTATTGATATTAAATATACATTAAAATTTTTGTGTAGACTCGATAAATAATAGCATTTTTGTTTTTATTGTGTCCACATTTAAAAAAAAATAAATTTTAATCAAACTACATGATACTAATTTAATTACGAGTATTAAAACTAAAGTCCTGAAAGTTTCGGTGAAGATGAAGACAGAACATCTGCCTTCCACGCGAAAAGCCCGGGATCGAATCTAGGCCGAGGACTAATTAATTTTTCATGTTTATTTTATTTTATAAATTAGTCAACTTCGTAAATTATTTTAAAATTAGTTATTTTGTCTAAATAACCTAAAATAATTTTTTAAATTTGTAGATTTTCGTTAGTGGGTCGTAGAAAAAATATACTGACCATATCGAGTGGATTGTTCATATCACAATCAGACGATTGAGTACTCTGCCTACGACGTCGTGCTCAAACTTCGTCTTTGTGTGATATTGCTATCATATCCACCCTTGTTGAACAAACTATAATTTATTTGTTTTCTTGGTTTAAACCAAAACTTAAGTTTTACATCAGAAATAGGAACTAAATTAATTTACTTTTCAAGTTTTCTTGTAAAAATCGATATTACTTTCTCCAAGTACAAATTTAGTACCTACCTAAAATAAGTACTAATTATGTAATATCGTGTAATATTGTAATTCAAATTTCACATTACTATAAAGTTTCAAAATTCCCTACTTCGGTATGGTCAGATAAAAATTGAATATATTATATTAATAAAAACTGTCAAAGTATTACTTCTACAAATCTGTATTTCAATTAATAAGAATACATCTAAATATAACCAATATTGTTAAAATAAAAGCACAAATTCTTTATTATTCCAAAATACCATAGAGTTCCCAGACCTCAGTCGAAGCATTCGTGTATCTAGGTATAAACCCTTTGCGCGAAGAGTAACACTTGCCAGAGACACGGGGTACCACTTGATTTGCATCCACGAGCGTGACACAATTCTTTAACAATTGAAGCCCTTGGTGTAAAAAGGATCCAAACCACAATTTGTCGTGAAGTGACTGTTTTAGCTCAAAACATTTGTTAACCAGGATTTTACTAGCCACATACAAATTATTTTACCTCTAATCCGAAAGATGTGCTATTTTTCGTAATATTTATATTTAAATAATGTTTCTAATTATATTTGACAGATTTAAAACAAATTAAAAATTTAATTTCCCAAAACTTACTTAATATGGCATGTAACCATCCTTATTACGCCAAGGTTTTCAATATATTCAATAATAAAAAAATTGTTTAATCCGGGCCCGACTTTTCCCTCGAATCTAACAGAGATAGCACCATTCCGTCTTGCTTGGTTCTCGACCGCCAGATCAAAGACGCCGACACGGAGTTGTGGAGCTGTATTGTATAAGCTGTGGTATAACTGCTAGAATAACTTTCAGTCTGCAACACAATATAGTCACGGCATAAGAAACAATCGGCAAGCTCACTCTCCGCTGATCGCATAGAAATATTATACTAAGAAAATTTGACCTTGACGACGCCATTCGGGGGTCTTAGTCAGGGTCGGATTAAAGCGTATTTAAAGATTTTTTGTAATAAAATAAGGTATTGATAGACAGGATCGTATTAAAACAAAAAAGCTCTACAGATTGCGCCAAATAATTAGCTTGTTTTTATTGATGGGCTTAAAATTTCTATTAATATTTTTAAAGTGTAATATATGAGCAGCCTTAAATATAACTTAGGACCGATTCCACCGTTGTGTTAAACGAAGTTTAAAATGACATTTTTACATTAACAATATCATTTTAATCTCCGTTTAACACAACGGTGGAATCGACCCTTAATAGGATACAAATTCAGGATACGCAGAAGACTGCTGTTTTATTATAGGCGGTGGTCATATATTGTATTATCCAAGTTGCACAGTGTATAAACTGAAACATTGAGATCCAAAGTGCCGACGCAAAGTGAGCGATCTGATTCTTTAGCTGTAAACTGTGTCACAGGGTTCAAAATGGCCGCGCCCTATGTTAGGCGTGTCGGACTTCTCTCTTGCCTCGTATAGTAATCAAAGTATGTGGGTTGGACCCCAAAATGGCGGTGTGCGCGTAGATGTGCGCGTAGCGTTGCAGCCAAGACAACTTACCCTGCCGATTGTTTCTTATGCCGTGAAGTTATGTAAATTTGACATAAACGTCTTTTGAGAATAGTGTGAACATACATATGGTTACCAGGTTTTTAAAAGTAATAGGTTTTGTAATAAGTCATATTCATTTAAGGTGAATGCAGTGGCAAAGAGGATCATCGTCCATGAGCAATTTGTATGTTAAATTTCAAAGATGGTCATGAGAACATGCACAAAGCAAAGTGTTAAATCTTAGGAATAGTGGAATAATTCACCAAAGAGTTTATAAAAGGACGTTAGGGTATCTATCTATCTATCCAGCCTTACTTCAGTGGGGTCAATTTATGGAAAATCACACCTAAGTTGTCTGTGATATATAATTTTAATAAAAGTGTTATAATATTATATACACCGCAACAATATTTTTATTTCTATGTTCCTTCTATTACAATTTTCTTGGCAAAT